GTGTTTTGTATTTCTAGACTAACACCAAACAGTTAACATGATATGATATAGAATTTAACCACACATACATTTGACTTGGATAAATGAATATTCTGATGGCATTCCCAATATATTGCTCTATATGTTACGGATTGGCGGCAGGAAATATGTCTTCACCGTATCTGCATTCTGTTATGAAAAATAGTATGTCTCCTAGACCGTACAGCTGATGTTCGTTCTATTCCCGCACAATCTAATGATGCTTAGAGTTAAACGTAAGTGATTATCTGTATGTTTATATGTGTGTCCCGTGCATAGGAAGTATTAGTAGCTCAATAAACTCGTGACTGTTTTATGTTAGCAGTCTTTTCCGTGTCCAGGTTATTTTTTTGTCCAAAATTTAGTCAGTACTTTTATGAAAATATTTTCCTTGGTTAGTGTTTGTTTCCCATCAAAATCCTTTTATTTCATTTTATTTTTATTTTATTTACACATCTACTCAACAAAATGTGAGAACATGAATGATCTGTAGTACAATTTACACTTTATATGTAGATTTGCTGATGAGTAAATGTCACCGAGTTCCTGTATAAGCATGTTGTCATGCATTTGTTAAGTAAATTTATTTATTCGATGTGTCAATTTTCCAAAATTAAATTTTTGTCAAATAAGGGGGTTTAACAATTCTACAGTCACTCAGTGACAGCTGCAGAAAGAATTCTTTTCAAAATACCATAGTTTGTAGGTTCATAAAAAAATACGAGGCTCTAAGTAAGGGCATTTTAAGGGGAGATTATATTATTATAGTTTTGGGAAGCTTAATATTGTAGTGAAAGTTGTAGGTATTTGTAAGTAGACTTATCTAAAGTCCTTTCAACAGCTTGAAATGATAATTAATATCACATAAACAAGAAACCCATTATCGGTATTTGCCAACTTGACCCTAAGGAAAGGAAAATCAATCATTGATTATACCTCGGAACTACGGGCTAGACTAAAATAACCCCTCTCCGTTCGCATTAAATGAGTTTCTAAAAAAATGTAAATAGGATATGTTAGCTGTACTGTAAAGTGACATATAGGATGTCTCTTAGAGAAGTCATAACTGATCGAAATAATTGTCAAAATATATCTGTCTGATCCGAACTTCAAACATATGTATGTAAGAAAACGTAGAAAGAGTGTTTCAAATACTTGTAATGGTATGTTATTAACAAACGAATAAGTCAATTTTCTTGACCACTAGAAAAACATGTCTTTGATATTTTGATAAGACACCGTTAAAAAGCTCAACCTATTGATTATTTCTTTAAGATATGAAAGAAATAGGCACGGTTAAGATGTAAAAGATAAGAAAAATGTGAAAAATACGATAAAAAGTAAATTGATGCATGCTAAGAGATCATCGGACAATATTTTAAATTTTCACTGGTCACAAGCTTCCAGTGAGTTTCAATTCTTAATGTTGACAAAATTTAAATATCAACGAAAGTAAAAAGAGCAATTATAGTCCTTCATAGAAATCCCTCTAATATGCTGACCAGACTTAAATGGCCAATCGAATTTTGCAAAAGAAATATGCATTTACTTCTACATAATTATAGTACTCAATATTCTTACGATGTTTCATTCAAGTCGGTTTGCAGGTTTAGGAAGGGTTGCCTGGGCAATATTTGATAACTTTTGGGTTACACCACACAATGGCACGTAAATTGCAACCAATATTTTCGAAATCTCTCGAGGTCTAAACCTTATATTTCAATAGTTTGGTAGCATTATTTAACGTATGTCGTGCCAGAATTCCTGTATCCCTAAGTTGTATACCGCGGTTTACGATAAAAAATACAGAAAGTATCAGTGAAAACTATTTACAATATAACTCCAACGTTGGCGTCTACTGTTTTAATTTAAGGCATAATTTATTAGAGTTTTGCCTGTGAAATATAGAAAAAATATCTCATTGATAAAAGTGTTAAAAGTGAAAACTAACAAAAAACCAATAAGATTGCAGACTTACGCCAATGAAAGAGAAAACGCCAGTTATCTGATAAAGTTGACAAATTATAAAGCTCGTTACAAAAAACAAAGCTAGACATCTGAAGGTGTTGTTTACTTTTGACACAACCTTCAATTCCAAGGTAAACGTTAATTTCCGGATTTATCAGAGATCAAGTCTAATACCCAACAGATTTGATTTGGTAATAATTAAAAAAAAACAGACAATATTTTGTCGGGAACTGTGCTATAATGAGTGAGTTATGTCAGCTTCGATGTTTTATATCCGTTCTTAACATATCAGCGATGTGGCTATTAAGCGTATAAAAATGTAATAAATATAATATTTAATAGCACTTTCAGTGCTGCACATTCGAGAAAGATTAAAAAATATTAGACACACTTGTGATATATACTCGTCCTTACTGAAGACACTATTAAATATCTTCTATGTATGTTATATTATGTAAATATATATCATCATGACAAATTGACGTCATTGTGCATTCCTTATAATACGCTGGTAATTAAAATATTTTATATCATTTGCAATACATTTGTATGAGATGCTAATTCATATCACCGAAATACTGTTTTCTCGAAGATATAAAACAATCACGAGTTCCCATTTTTCTTCATAAACATGCAATATACCCAAGTATTGAATTCATCAATTAAATCATCTCGGTCCATTCCCTTAGTTTACTGATTAGGTGTTATATATGTGTACATATAAATAACACAAAACATATTTGTTTCAAGTGCTATCAAGGCAAAAATACCAATATACACTTTATATCCGTATCAGGGTACGAAATCAGAGGGGTAGGTGGGTAAGGGGAAACATGACCTTGAAGCTAGATTTTGGATTGGTATAGGTTATCCGTCTTCCGATTTTCTATTTTACAACAATGTCCCCAGTCATGACAAAGAGGAAATGTGTAAACACCAATTTGAAGAAATATATCAGCTAACAAACTGCTTCAGCATGACCACATGGTTCATTGATACGTTACATATGCGTTATGTTTCTTCTTGAGATTTGAACGCATAATGTAAAATTCATTAATTTTGTTTGTACATTTAACATGTGTTAACTTCCTTAAAAATCTCCCCTTAACTCTAAGTGCAACTTTTTCAGAAGAATGCTGTCACCAGTACTAAATACTTATTCATATTGCCTCCAGTTATGATAACTGCAGATAGAAATACACGTGCTTCTGCTCGTTAGAAGAATATATTTTTGTACTTGTGTATTTGTTCCAATTATTATGATATGTCTCCATTTGTATAGAAAGGGGTGGCGTAGGCACACTGTCGTTACTTTGAATTGTGTGTTTGTGTGTTGTACAACTTACGGGTTCGTCATAATTTCTTGAGACCAAATATATGATAAAAAGTATCATGTTTACTGTCATAATACTCATGCATTATGAAAATAGATTAATTGAGATAGTACTGTATGTGTCGAACAAGGTATGGAAGATTCTTAGTATGTTTCGTGAGGACTTATTTGACTGCGTTGAAATAAATAGACAGAGATTGGGATGAAAGATGCACAATTAAATAAAGTTATTGGATGATAATTGCAGTGAAATTAGATGAACGAGTAATTTACCCGGACAGTCTGAATACTTTATCGGTTACACCTGAACTAGAGTACTGAAGGGAGATAACACTGTAACTTGTACATATGTGGGCAACCCATATTGAGGCGTCGCCTCTGAGTCAAAGGTGTGCAAATACTATAATCCACACCGCTAGAATAATAAATTGTTCGACTAAAATATTACGTCTAGAAATGTTTAAGTTTTATTCCGACAGTTTGGAGATTTAAACCTTGATACTTTTATCTTTCAGTTATATTTGCTTAACTTGTAACTGACAATCACAGTTTGCTTGATATCGAAGGAAATACTTGACAATTGAAGAGACTTTTCGTGATAAAAAGAACTTCCCGAACAAAGATAGAATTTTCAAAAGGCGATAAATTATTGTTGAATAATCTTTTGTCTGCTGTCCGTCAAACGTCGGTTGTGTAGCTACGTTTGATTTTTTTCCAATATTTTTTTGCAATCTCTCCTTTAATAAAGTCTACCTACTTTCCTTTTGATCAGTTTTTGGTTTTATTACGAGAAAAGCAAATAATAAAAAATGTCAATTTTCTTATTTGTGTCCAATCATGTTGTAGTATAAAAAGAAGTTCTTTGATGTGAAACTTGGAAAGAAAACTTATAAATAGTTCAAAGGATAGATAGATGAGTGAATAATTTGAATAAAAACATTAACATTATCATGAAGATTGTAATATTGTAACGATAGGATTGGCACAAACTAGGTACAGTTTTTACATGTATAATATATTTACATGTACTTCTGATATTTGACACAGCGAATAGGTATCAGAATCAATGCATATTTTAGCATATAGAAACATAGTACGTTTATGCAAAAAATCGCGCATACTGTTTCCATTCTTTAACATGACGTTTGAAAAACTTTCCTTTGGAAATTGAAATAAAAACAAAAATAATTATGAAATGAAAGACTGCACCTTATTATAAGTAATCCTCTATTGAAAACGTGGCATTATCATGTTTCATATATATCTAGCAGAATCTCCCGTTTGACACATTCAAACATTTACAATGTATGATAATTAGCAGCAATCTGCATTTTAACTACATCATATACAGTTTCTATGTTGACGTAACCGTATATTACAATCAGTAGACCTATCTACCGACATTAACACTTGTTAAATGATATATCGTTGTATACTGTGCGATATTAAAAGCACGAACAGAGATAACGGTGAAACTATCTACAAACAGGACTACAGTAATATGTACAAAATGGCAATTGATTGCTCTGAATGTGTAAACATGTGATAAGGGTACCTGACTGATAACGTAGTCTTCCTGGTCACTATATGAAAGGCATTGTGAGAAATAAAACTTCCTTGTGTGAAAAAGTTACGTTGTTACGAGTCTATGTCATAACTATCTGGTTACCTGAAGAACGTAATGGAACTGGTCAATATAGATACAAGTGGATATTTAATATTTTTTCTGCTTTGCTCTGGACCATACATTGTTGGCGCTTCAAGTAAGTAAATGTATATACACGTAGGTATGGCTGATGATCATTGTCGTAGCTCTAATGTCTAATCTCAGCAAACCTCACTTATCGCATCTTTAATTGTAAACTTTCCTTTACATGTTACATACCTCTTTAATTCAGTAGTACATATGTAACATACCAGTTTTCCTCAATAGAAACATACCAGTCTCCAAACCTCATTGATACTTATTAGTCTCCCTTCACCAGTAATAACAAATAAGTCTCCGAGAGCCTCACTAGTAACATACTGGTCTCATTCCTCGGTAGTGATAAACCAGTCTCGGAACCTCTGCAGTTACAGACTTGTCTCATTTCCTTAGTAGTAACATTCCAGTCTCCCTGCCCTGCCACAGTAATAACATACTTGTCCGCTTTCCTCAGTAGTAACAAACCGGAATGCTCAATTCGGTAGTAATCTACCGATTTCCTTACCTCAGTTTTAACATATCAGAACCCCCTTTTCAGTAGTAACATATGAGTCTCCAAACTTAAGTAGTTACATAACAGTCTCATCCCACAGGTATTTACATTTCAGTTTTCCTCCTCGAATTATAACTTACCACAATACACTCCTCGGAAGCAATATGCCAGTTTGCTTTCTTCACCAGGAAAATACAAGAAGTTGAACACATAACAGATTCATTGTCAGTATTAACATACCTTTGCTTCCCCTCGGTAATCACGTATTTCTCCTTCTCAATAATACCTTTTATGATATTGTTCTGTACTTATAAATAATGTTATCAATATACTATATTTCAGAAGATTTGGCTTTAAAACAAACCGCTACACAAAGCTCAACGTACATCGCTGAATATTCTGCCGATAGAGCCGTTGATGGAGTCCTCGGAGTTGATGTATCGGATGGACACTGTTCCCACACAGGTTCAGGTCACCAACAAGCCTGGTGGAAGGTTGACCTGGGACAGATTTACCGGATACAGACGATCAACATCACATACAGACGTAGTCGTAAGTTGTCGCATTATATTCACGTGTCTGTGTTTACATCTAGGTATAAAGTTGCTGCTCACATGTGGTGGTCTTTACTTGAAACTCTGTTGGTGGTTTCTAGTGTAAGTGTTTTACTGTTGTTTTGTATTTTTTTCAACTTTAGATAATTGCACGAATTAAACGATACATTTTTAGGCCAATCACTTTTGTTAATTCATAAACAACGGAAACTCCATTATCTAAGACTCCTAAATGTAGAAAACAGTTGATCATTGCGTAAAGTTTTATTTCTGAAGTAGTAAAAAATATACGACACTCCAATAATAACCCAAATTGAAATACAAAATATATAAAATATCAAATCAATGTGACATGGACACTAAGATAAATCGCACTGAGGAATTTCAATAAGAACATACATAGACATATTGCTGTACTTCATTTTTGAGCTGCAAAGAGGGTATTTTTTAAATGTATGTTTGATGTCATGAATGTGACAGTTCGAATAAACAAAAAACATCAGCATGTCAACATAATCAATATCCGAACTCAAATTAAACAAGACTATGGGAAAATATGAACAAAAGAAAGATTACCAAATTACAAGGTAACGAAACAGTATTTATATTTTTTTTGTGAAAGAACAATGATTTGACTTATTGCAGTCGTTCCTATAATATCGTTAGCGATACGTTTTGTTAAGTCGATAATGTAGTGAACAACATTCTTGTAATTCGGTCGTGTTTTAAGGAGGGTAGATTAGGGAGACACTACATTATTCCAGATCCAACAACCAATATTCCCAGTTCCAGCCACAAACTCCCTGTTTCAACGCAGTTGTTTACAGTTACCACCGCCTATTTCATGACTGAGTCCATCATTTAAGTATAGAACAGTTTTAAAGCTTCAGTGACTGTGTAGAAACTTTTGGATAATTGGTTTCGAGCAGTTTCTATAGTTTGCATGTCCGTTGTTATCTACAAAATTCTTTGTTACCGATGGAATACTTTTTGATGATTACCAATTGGAATCGTAACTTTGGATCACGAGACCTGTTCAGTAACGTTTTATTTTAACCGGAGAGAGGGCCGACAGACAGCAATAAAGAAGACATTGTACAGGCTAAAATGCTAACATAGTGGCCGATCTCCGTCGCCATTACAGGATTATGATGTTAACGTCATATGATATACCTGACAGTAAGATTACACAATGTTAGCGTGCAGTAGAAAAGAGAAATGGAAAATAAGAGATCAGTCACTGTAAAGATATAGTCGTTTTCTGCCGTACTTATTATAATGAGCACTCGGAAATATCGAAACTACGGAACTTCATAATAATACCTAACTTGGCAAGCATTTTTGGTTTTATCAGTTACTGATCACGCATTAACTCACAGTAATGGTTTAAAGGTACCTTTATTATATGTCCCTTGGTAGCACCAAACATTGTAGGTCTTGCACCAATCCCTGTCCAGTTTGCTTATGGTTGGAGTATCGCCCTTAATTTCTCATTTCCCTATTATCCTTTGATTTATAAAATTAAGCTAAGATACGTCTTTGAAATCATTCTTGTTTGTTACTATGTATCACAACAAATACACACCCTCAAACACTTACTCACTTTTACATATACACACGCGTGCCACAGAAAGATACATACATATTCATATCAACCATTTGATATTTTCGGAGAGAGTTATATATGAAAAAATCAAATATAATCTACAAATATCTACATACGAAGGTTATATTGCCGATAATATCAATATCGAAACAGCTTCCAAATATGGTGGTACATGCCTGTCACATATATATTTACATACCACATTTTATTGTATATCTGTTCAACAGTTCGAAAGTGATAATGAAGGTAATATGGAAGTGCACACGTCTGTGCAGGTGCATTATGTGAGCTGTGGACTGGCATTGGTAAAACAGATATGCCTATCAAAGGTCACAGTAACCTAATACCATATAAATATACTTATAGTCTGTGAAAGATGAAGATAAGATTTCAATAACAATATAGAAGGAGAGAGTATATGATGCTAAAGTTTATATACCATTATCTTAAAATCCTAATTATAACAATCATTTACTTCATAATGACCTGATTGAGTGCCTGGCATCATCACTATGTATTCCCTGATGCTGACTTCACGGATTTGCGATTTCTCATATCACGGTTCCCCTGTTATAGAAATCGTGAGGAAGAGAAAATTGATAATTTCAAAACTTCATCAAAGCTCCTAAGGAAAGATTGCAAGTGATTGGAAATGGACATTTGTTTGATTTATAATACATTAAAAATATACATGTAATTGAATCTCAATTAAAAAAGTTATCTAGTCGAAAAAAAATACATATTTTTAATTAGATCTAGGGAAAATGTCTTCATTGACTACTTTGTTTTAATTTAACCACGCCAAATGATTTTTTTTCAGAAACAGCTCGTCTTAAAGGCTACAGTCTTTATGTAACAAACAACACAGCTATGACACAGTCTGATGGGTCTATCAATGAACAGTTAGGCTATTTGTGTTACCATGACGCTGATTCGAGGACACCGACGTATAATCAGTCACGACAGTGTCACGTTGATGGGAGATACGTCGTGTTCTACAACCACAGAACGTACGGAGACGCATATATTGAGTTATGTGGTGTTCAAGTTTACGGTAAGCTATATTGTTCAGATGTGCATTTTGTTCATGTTCTCCTGTAACCCTAACGTTTTATCTTAATTTGATTTTTCTAGACTAGTGCTTTTCTTCAATATTTAAATAAAAATACTTACAGAATAAAAAAGAAAATTGATCGTCAATATGCTTCTGTAAAACTACACGTATTTCTTGAAATTCACTCCTGCTTCAATCACAGATTCTATATGTTTCCATGCACTTGGTATTAAGGTACAGATATCATATTTCAACCGATTTTGAATTTTGAATTTAAGATAGTATCAACGAAGTAATTCAATTTATTTTATGCTAGAGCGTTTCAAACTATATGCGACTTGAAGTCGATGTTTACTAAGGAGAATATGCGCGCATATATATGGTTGGCAAAATTGGTTTCTTTGAAATGTAATGCCCATAAATCATCTGAAGCTGTATTCTGGACTAAATGATTAACTGAAAGCTAATTTCACTAAACTTTTTTTTATCCATTAATCATTTTCTGACATTCTGATATTTTTATTTTGTATAAGTTTAGCTTTTGGATTAAAAGATATTATGTTTCATTCATACAGCATCTTTAGACCTTCATTATTTACTAAATTAAGTATTAAGTTTATGATTCAAAGGATATACCAAACTTTATTTAAGATGAATCCTTCTTATCCTGCAAACTAATGATTAATCGAAGTTATTAACATACTGCTTAAGTCAGACAATGAAAAACGTGTCCTTCAGATCAAACTATTTTGTATGTCAGCTGAAACTAAACTTGCAAACCGACTATAGGAAGAACGAAATCAATCGAAAACTGTCAGATAAATCACAGTACATATATCCTGACGTCAAATTAAAACACACGTCAAATTACAACCAAACGTTAAAACATAACCACAAGTCAAACATAACCCCACGTCAAAATATAAACAAACGTCAAAATATAAACACACGACAAAACATAATCACGCGTCAAAATATAAATGAATTTATTTTCCAATCGAAAAAGAAAAAATATTAGACTGACATAAACTGCATTCTATAGCGAATTGAACTTTTACCTCTTACTCTATATGATTCTGGTTTGTGATGTACCAAACATATGCACGAGTAACTGACATTATTGAATGGTTTAAACAATGCTCTCTCCGGTAATATACATTTAGACGTTAGAAATTTGGTGTGATGTTAATGTTGTTCCACATTTCATTCATGTGACTTAACGCAAAGTGATAATGAATTTAAAACATCACTATGACGTTGGATTCATACGTATCAACTATATAAGTACGTAATAGACCTGTACTGGGTGGGGAAGGATGAAATGAAGACTTTGAAGTAAATTATTTTTTTTTGTAGGTGAAATGCTTGAAAGCAACATTAATAGTGATGCATAAACAAATGAGTTCGTCCTTTTGAAAACATTAACATCGGGGTTTATTTTTCGAAAATAAAATGGAATCAATGGTGATATCAATACACAGATCACATCCAAAAATCTTAATTCCAGTATCTACCTGAATAATTTCAGCGTTAAATTCACAAAATACCTAGATATTGCATAAATGTTAATGTTGTTCCACATTTCTTTCATGTGACTTAACGCAAAGTGATAATAGATGAAAAATAGATAAACCTTATCCAATACATATTCATAAGTACTTCCTAAATTTATTTCAACCACGATAGAATCAGTGTGATAGAGCCGCGCACAGTACCCACAGATGTGCGATCGTAAATATCTTCCAGGTTTTCTATCATGCAGACACTAAATTGAAATATCAGATATTTCTTTAGGATCTATGTCTTGATTTTGTTTGGATCTGTTGAATACTAATGTGCACGTGCATCAAAATCATCATCAGTTTTTAAACATTCTTTTATTCAGTCATAGACGTGTATTAATTGATACAGAGACACTCGCCTCTTGTCTTGATAAATAGTAGCATATGAGTAGTTTGTTATATATATATATACCTTATGTTGTCCACGGTTTTTAACTTCACCACCAGCAGTGTTTTTTGAATGTGGCCCGCAGCAAGATGCAAACATACTTAAACAAGGAAAACTGATCTGCCTTAAAAATAAGTCATTGTCACACAAAATGGTGCACGTACATGCATCAGCACTGAGAAAATCCCGAAGTCCCTATTCAATCATTACTACTTGCAATAAAACACTGTGCAATCGAAAAAAAGATAAACTTCTTATTGGAAAGTAAAACCGAAATCTATCCTTATACCAAGATTATTCATCGGCATCGCGATACACACACAGGTGAATTTAACAATATACATATACTAAGAAAAGATTCACTTTAGCAAATGTCGATGTCAGGGTTATTCTATAAGCCCTTATCATACACACTCATTCAATGATTAACAAAAACACATATCATTACAATTACTTTATTTATGAACAGATTTGTATCCTTAATTTCTGGTTGTTGTGCATGGCATTATTATAAAAAACACTTCTCCTTTGGGTGTACAGTTCGATGCCATAACACGTGCACATATCAGCCTGAAAATGTACGATATTAATTTTTACAGGGTAACGTAAAGGCTTCTGTTGGTGTCAGTAGTGAGTGAACTACGACTGTAGTTGTATAATTGTAATTTAGGTTTTTTCCCTCAGGAAAACACTCATTTCTCTTCAAATCATTCCATTTAACATTCCCCTCTCCCCCCACCCACCCACCCCAATAAAAAAAAAAAAAAAAATGAAAAAATTAAATAAATAAAAAAAAAAAAAAAAAAAAACTAAACAAAATTCTTTGCCTAATTCAGTTGCATGAGTCTAATTCTGCTAATTCATTCAATTTTAAATGTATCTCCCTATCCACCTTTCCACCTCTTATATATTACTGGACTTCATATGTTGATGTACACGTGTATAAGTATTGACTGTGTGTATTTCGTTCAATCTAGACAGTTCAAGTATTATTGTTTTCCCAAAGTAAAGCGATTGATTAAGTAGCACGAGGCGATGTGGTTATAATGAATCTTGGAAAGGAGGAGTGCCATTTTGGGCCTTATGGCATGACATGACATTAAGCGAAGGTCAGCTCAAGGCTGTTCAGTTATTATAGGGGGGACGAGTGGGAGATCAAATTCATAATTATTGCAATAATTATCAAACTAAAAATATTTTTTAGTGTTTTTTTCTCTTAAATGTCAGTTGAGGATATATTTCAAAACCTTCATTAGAAAAAAATGACAAAAAATATGCCATTGTTGAAAAGTAGGTCACGGTAATTAAGTGCCCTTATTACCAATTAAGTCACATTTGAGCAACGTTTTTTAAAATGAAAAAAAATCAATTAAGCACCGGGTTTCACAGGATCATAAATGACCTTTGTCTATTACTTACGTGCGCTTACGTCCGGGCCAACAAGAGTAATTAGTATAAGTTGACATAACTTGTTTCGCAATTGTTGTAAAATAAATAAAGTTTATATTTGATTAATCGTTTTGTCTATTTCTAAATGTGAAATATATATCAATCAGTTTCTTTGAGTGTGATCTTTGTTTTACCCTCTAGTTGTCAACATACCATAAAGGCATTTACCAAACATTTATTTCACATATATTTAAGCAGCATAATGCTTTTCTTGCAATATGTATAAGGAACAAATATGATATGTAAAGGAAGAAATTAGCTACCTGTGTCAGCATATGTAGTACAGAGTAGAATACTGTAACCCAGTTTAACGATTGTATTTATTTAATGTCGTCAGTTCTTTTCATTAAAGGAAATTCATCGTTCGTAAAAGGATAATCTCTCTGATGTCAAACAAATATTGTACTTGTTTATCGATTTGAAATATAACGATATCCAATACTGTTGTTTAATGTACTAAAACAAATACCGTTGGTAGTCATTATTTTATCATTTTCCCTAAAGCATACATTGTATCTGGGAAAGTTCAATACTACCATTCTATGAATATATACTCATTTGTTTTAGGATGTCCCACCGGTAGGTTTGGGTTTAACTGTAGTGACACCTGTCACTGTCAGACTGGTGGGTGTAACCCTGACACGGGGCAATGTAACGTCACCGGGTGTCAGGCTGGCTGGATGGGACTATCATGCAGTCTCCGATGTCACTGTAACTTGGGAAGAGCCTGTGATATAGATACAGGGGCCTGTAGTGGAGGATGTCAATCCGGATGGTCGGGACGCAGCTGTATGGTAGGACCGCGTAAGTTGAATTTAATGAACGATTTTATTACACATAATTCAGTTGTCGACTGTTGAATATACACCTATTCGTGAAAGTTGAAAGGAACACTGAAAAATGGCTCGTCCATACAAACAGTTAAAGAACTTATTTTTTATTTAGATGAATGTTAATAATATGTTCTAATTAATTAGAAAATGGTTTCTGCCAAATACATGTTAAGATGCAGAATTCGAATATCTGTTAACGTGTCACTGACTGTCATACCTAATTTTAGTCCTATATGCTTTTTTTTGCTCCGCTTGTTTTGTACTGTCCCATATCCTGTAAGCATCAACTTTTGCAGAAGTCATATTTCTTATGACACTCTGTACTTTTTTCTTACTTGTTAAAACATTTGATTTAGATTATTGCATCGTCATATGTCATCATTTAATTATTCAAAGAATTGTACATATCGATTGATTTCCATGTTTGGTAGTTTTAAAGGAAAGAAAAAAAGTAAACTTTAGAGCTTTGTACTTTTTCTTGTTGTGTAGTATACAACACATTGATATCATTCTCGTCTTGCTGTTTACACAACAAGAAAGAGTGGTAGGCATGTTTTCTTGGCGAATCAAGGTAAAAATGACGTTTATCATTTAAGCTTGAAAGATGAAATCTTCTGCGGCTGGTTTGTATATAAGCTTTGATTTCATAAAAAATCAAGCGCCTTAGATTTTCGAAACGGAGAATTCACTAAATCTTATAATATATCAACTCGACTGACACAAATAGTGTACAGGGAAGATGCGTGTACATATTGTTAATTTAAATTTAAATAGGTCATACCCATTATCAATTATAAGTCAAAGGTGAAAAGGTCCACTTAATCTATCTTTCAAATGAATATACATTTGAGTACCAGCCTTGGTTTTAACTATAATTTTAAAAACAAATGAAACAAATTCTGTGAAAACTTCCGATTTTTCAATCCCATCTTCACTATTCCATGTGAAAGAGTAAAACTTTCATTAATTATCATTTGTTGCAGATAAATGGAATCTGGCATATAATAAGTACACCCGACAGAGTACCACAAATGGAGTCTATAGATCAGACATAGCTGTTGACGGTGTTATTACCGCGGATGCAGGACGTCACGGAAGCTGTTCACATACATGCCCAGAAGGACATGATGAGGCCTGGTGGTATGTCGATCTTGGAGGAGAAAAAAGGATCGGGATTATTAATATAATATACAGACAAAACTGTAAGTGGTATAGCAATGTAGTCCAACGACTGGAACATCAAATAGGGTGACTACTCCTTTTGCATGTGTCGTAACTACACAAGATATATACAAATATCTCTCTAGTTCCATATGGCAGTGCAACCTTGCATTAAACATTACATTATAAAATATTCAATAGTTTACTCCAAAACTATTTGACATGGAATTATATGCTATATCTGCAGTTGCATAGATAGAAGAAACTTCAAAGAGAAATTTGAAATAACAATATCTATTCTGAAACATGTTGATAAATGATTAATTGAATAATTAATATAGCAGCACTTTGATTGGATTACTACACTAAAACGATAATCGTTCTCATTTGTTTATCAAAATCTTATGTTTGACTAAATTTTGTTCATGTAACATGTTTCCAACGAATTCTTCATAATCACGTGTTAACACAACTACGTTCACCTATTATGGATGTATGTATTGCATGTATATGTGCGTGTATACACCAATAAAGTAACTGTATACATAACGTCAATGTAGGGAATATGTTTCTTGAACTATATCCTATTTTGTTTGCATCTGTTTTAGACACTTTAGTCTGTTTCAGACCCCTTCCGAATGTCCGGGTTTTATCTCTATATATCAAACAGTTCCTATACTAACTCCCAAGCGCTGAGTCGAGACGTTTTATGTTACCATGACCACGGACCCGGTCTGCCCTCCTACATTCAGTCACTATCATGTCCAGTCTCAGGTCGATACGTCATATTCTACAACAAACGTCCTGCTGACTACGAGCCCTTCAATCGCACGTTTTATTCGGAGTCAAATGCAGTCATTGAACTATGCGAAGTACAGGTACTTGGAGGTTTGTACTTTGTTTTGAATTTAACTGTAAAGTGTTTTGTCGTGTGCATGAAAACAACAGAAAAGAAATAAGGTGAAAGGTGCAAGTTATTTATTATTCTTCGATGATCCTCATCTTTCTTTTTTTATTAACGTCAATTTCAGTTTGTATTACCGGTAAAAAGCATGAGCTTGATACATTGATACCAGTCGTACTGCATCATTTATATAATTGAGAGATCAAAGTATCCGAATTTCAGCCTCCGTGTTTTTTTTTGTCTAAAAATGTTGTGCACGAACTTTCAATCTGTTTTAAACACCGCTATTTTCTTGTTCGGGCATATCAGTTTGTAGTGGGCGATTGTACAGGTACCTTCCAAAGTCGACGTAGCAGAGAGACGCTTAGATTGTCGAAAATGACAGTAAACAGTGAAAAACAAGTCACTTTAGACACCTCAGTGAATTGGGGGAGGAGAGGGTCAACACTCCAAAACAGTTGAGATCTTCAGCATGTCTTTTTAGCCTAGGTCATCCTTATTCAATAGGTCCTAGCGCGGAGGTCAAAGCATGGAAGCAATTTTACTGTGATCTGGTGGGAACGGAGAAACTTATACACATATGACTTATGAAGTGACCACCTAGGTTATCCTTAGTCCCTTGTGTGTTAGTCCGGGGGTCTTATCGTGAAAAAAGTAAAGATCCGCATCCTATAACTACATATTTATTTGTTGGGAATGGAGAGATGAATCCACATATGGCTTAATAATTCCCAGTTTGTGCAGTAATTATACAGATCAGATACAGACTAAACAGTGTTTTCTATTACTTTTAAATTCATCTTAAGTCTACGTCTACTGTTTCAGACTGTCCAAAACTTAGTGGATGACTTACCGACATTCAACAATGACACATAATATCTGCAAACCCCTTTGAAAATAAACGAGTTTATTCCGTTATTCATGAAACAATGAATTAGTTACCAATCGGTTTAACTTGTCTTTTTAAAGTTGTGTTTGGTGGTTCCATCGCTCCGTTAACAGCTAAGGCCATTTTGAGGCGGATCATGTAGGGTTATACACTCGTTATCACCTTAGCGTTAGATCGGGTGATCATTACATAAGTATGCAGATACATACTGTGATCAATTTATTATTTCTTTCCTGACTGCTATTTCGTTTTGTAAATATCTAATTAACACCCACCTCTATGATCCTGGAACTATTCTTTATTGTGGTCATTGCAAGGCAGTTAAACCCCCACAACTGTATGCAATTGAAGGTGACATAACAAACTTAATGCAACATATGATTACACTGCAGGTGTATTTTTAGGTCAATAGATAAGTCACCAAAGGTCAGCAATGCTTGTTAATGTTAAAACGAATTCTTAGATTTCCATATCTGATAGCAAAAGAAATTTTAGAAGTTATGTACACCAATAAAGGTGTTTGGAAAAAACCCAACAAACTGATAATTATATGAAGAGTAATAAGGCAATAAAAATGAGTGTAGGAATGATGTAAACAGAGGTGATATGTGATACAAAATCAACATTTCTCCACCCCCCACCCCCCCCACCCCCCACCCCCTAAAAAAAAACATGGTATGAAAACTACCGGAATTAAGGCATTTTTGAACTTTTAAAGGGTTTTAAAATGGTATTATAGAAGCCAATACATTTATACGTGTGTATTGGTCATCAATACTTATCAATATCATATAGTTTAAATTGCATAAATAAGGTTATGTCAGTGGTCAATGTATAGGTCATCATAGGTCATATGTCAAATAAGTCATCAATATCAAACATTATTATACACAACTTTTCCTTTGCACGCCTTATAACAGGGAAAGTTATGTCAAAGGTCAATATATAGGTCGCAAAAATTCACAGGTCAAATAAATAACCAGTCTTTATTAATTTTGTATGCCTTTCCTTCTCGTATCTTGTCATACAAAGTTATGTCACAACAAAGTTCAATATGTAAGTCACTAAATGCGACATGTCCGGTAAGATTTCATTATCAATCAATATTGTATACTTTCCATTTGCGCTTCTTAAAATGTAAAGTTAAATTCACTCCTACTGGCCAATCAACGAAGCAATATTGATTTCGCAATAATACCAATCTCAACAGAAGTAGCTTAAGGAGGTTTTATTACACAATATACATTCAGCATAGTCAAGTGAACGTGATATTCATAATATAGCCCATATACAGCACCCTCTGGTAAGATGAGAGTACCTGCAAAACAAACCCACGTGATAGAAGAACAGAATGACGACATTGACTTTGATTTCATTGATAATTCTTTCTCGGGAATTTTAATTAAAAATAAATCACGTTGGAAAGAATTGAGATTAGTTTCCTACTCACGATACTGCTTTTTGTTCATATTTCAAATCATATACTGCTGTTGTTGATAGTAGTACTCGAAGGGGCTCCAATAGGGGAATTTATCATTTTTTTCACCTAATGCTGAAACAAGTTTCCAGTATGCTTAACGTTAGTAAATGTCCACATGAATTTTCGGTACTGAGTTTTGAAGAAGGTACTATAAATTGATTAATTACCTACGCAGCACGAATCTAATGAGATAAGTTAAATATTGATATACTTGTAGCATATATGGAAACTGTCATCTGTTTCAACACATTCTAGTTCAAAGTTGTTTATGTTTACAGCCGTGATATGGTTGATGTAAACAACTATGACGTGTTGTTTAAACGAAAAACGTCATCAAATCATAGCAAGGTCGAACAGGCGGTATATCATCAGCATGTATAATTAATAAGGACTACACTGATAAAATATTATGACATGAAAAAAATCAACCGTAGTAAAATTGTGCCTTGTAAGCACGGCTTTTTTTTTGGCAAAAGAGGAAAGTTGTGATTGATTAAAAACATTACATTAGCATACACGTACATTTATTATTTAGAAATGCAACAAATATGTTTCTTTACTGTAAAATTTCTTCTTTTTACTGTTCCCATACAGTGGTCATAAATGGTCAGTCGAGTCTACGTCCTCTACTCGTATCAATGACTATCACAAGTTTATATGTATCTTGCTTCTAAACTGTTTTTATTTATATAGGCTGTTTACTATTAGATGTGACTCAGAGGAAAAGATTCGTCGTCGGAGTAGAAGATCTGTGTTTTTTACCAACATAAAACATATTTGTAACGTTTTATTATAGTAAGACTTTGCTGGATGAGTGTCCACTGGAAATGTAAGCGACGTAGTGCAGTTGTCTACTGTGTGGCGCAATGCTTGAAAATCTTCACCACAATTTGATATAGGTTGCTTTTTCATTATGTATTATTTAACCAAGGCGTATTTTGCATTTTGTTTTATAATTTTCATGTAATGATGGTTTTCGTGGTTTACGTGTGATGTTTGATTATATAATTTATTTTTGAGGATGACCTCATTCAATTCGATTAATTGTCCAGTTTTATGTGGAGCAAGCATAGATTTATTTATAGAAAACCCCTTCAAAAGACACAACGATAGTTACATGTACATGATAGATGTCGTTCAGGAATGGCGGCATTTGATAAAAAATCTCATCAAAATACATATTATCAATAACAATCCCTTGAATATAATATCAACAATGATGATTTTACAGCCTGTGAGCGAGGTAAATTTGGACAAGACTGTAGTCAGAGTTGTCACTGTGCCTCATCTGACTGTAACCAAATGACGGGAACTTGTCTTGTTCCGAGATGTTCTGCTGGCTGGATGGGTAATTCTTGTGACCAAGGTAGATTCTTCTTTTATAACTTACAAGGGAGTTAATCTTAAACATTATAATTATAAGAGCCTGGTGTATTCGAGGAACCTGGAAGATAAATTAGCATACGTGCATTGTTTACAAAATTAAAACATCATGTATCGTGGTTTAACAGAAAATTTCGTCTCCAAACTGTTCTCACACTTACTCATAAATGGCGAGTCGAATCATCTACTTGTATAATGAAGTAAGTCAGGATACGTAGTTATATACCAAATCAAAGCATTCTGTCGATTCAGACCTCTCCCACTCAGATATTTTGAACGGTTTCATTATATCACAGGTTTCCCAAAATTATATCGTTCGCCATGTCGATGTAACTCACTTTGATTAAAGAATGGCTATATTGAAGGAAAGCGAGCGAGTACCTATACTGTGGTTATATAATTTATTTTTGAGGATGACCTCATTCAATTCGATTAATTGTCCAGTTTTATGTGGAGCAAGCATAGATTTATTTACAGAAAACCCCTTCAAAAGACACAATGATAGTTACATGTACATGATAGATGTCGTTCAGGAATGGCGGCATTTGGTAAAAAATCTCATCAAAATACATATTATCAATAACAATCCCTTGAATATATTATCAACAATGATCATTTTACAGCCTGTGAGCGAGGTAAATTTGGACAAGACTGTAGTAAGAGTTGTCATTGTGCCTCACCTGACTGTCACCAAATGACGGGAACTTGTCTTGTTCCGGGATGTTCTGCTGGCTGGATGGGTAATTCTTGTGACCAAGGTAGATTCTTCTTTTATAACTTACAAGGGAGTTAATCTTAAACATTATAATTATAAGAGCCTGGTGTATTCGAGGAACCTGGAAGATAACATTAGCATACGTGCATTGTTTACAAAATTAAAACATCATGTATCGTGGTTTAACAGAAAATTTCGTCTCCAAACTGTTCTCACACTTACTCATAAATGGCGAGTCGAATCATCTACTTGTATAATGAAGTAAGTCAGGATACGTAGAGAATTATATACCAAATCAAAGCATTCTGTCGATTCAGACCTCTCCCAGTCAGATATTTTGAACGGTTTCATTATATCACAGGTTTCCCAAAATTATATCGTTCGCCATGTCGATGGAGTAACTCACTTTGATTAAAGAATGGCTATATTGAAGGAAAGCGAGCGAGTACCTATACTGTGGTTATATAATTTATTTTTGAGGATGACCTCATTCAATTCGATTAATTGTCCAGTTTTATGTGGAGCAAGCATAGATTTATTTACAGAAAACCCCTTCAAAAGACACAATGATAGTTACATGTACATGATAGATGTCGTTCAGGAATGGCGGCATTTGGTAAAAAATCTCATCAAAATACATATTATCAATAACAATCCCTTGAATATATTATCAACAATGATCATTTTACAGCCTGTGAGCGAGGTAAATTTGGACAAGACTGTAGTAAGAGTTGTCATTGTGCCTCACCTGACTGTCACCAAATGACGGGAACTTGTCTTGTTCCGGGATGTTCTGCTGGCTGGATGGGTAATTCTTGTGACCAAGGTAGATTCTTCATTTATAACTTACAAGGGAGTTAATCTTAAACATTATAATTATAAGAGCCTGGTGTATTCGAGGAACCTGGAAGATAACATTAGCATACGTGCATTGTTTACAAAATTAAAACATCATGTATCGTGGTTTAACAGAAAATTTCGTCTCCAAACTGTTCTCACACTTACTCATAAATGGCGAGTCGAATCCTCTACTCGTATAATGAAGTCAGGATACGTAGAGAATCATATACCAAATGAAAGCATTCTGTCGACTCAGACATCTCCCAGTCAGATATTTTGAACGGTTTCATTATATCACAGGTTTCCCAAAATTATATCGTTCGCCATGTCGATGGAGTAACTCACTTTGATTAAAGAATGGCTATATTGAAGGAAAGCGAGCGAGTACCTATACTGTGAGAGGGACTGTTTGTTAACATATCTGAAAGCTCTGTTATTGTTATAACTCTATGTGGTTTACGGATCAATTATATATATTTGGTATTGTCAAGAACGTTGTTGTAAGTCATGATGGTATTCATGTGTTTTTACGCCCGAGATATCAATGGTCTTTAGATTTTGGGCTTTTGCTATTGGTCGACGCTACAATCAGGAATGTGTCCAGAACATTTCAATAATTTTGCTACATAAGAATTTGTGTAAAACACAGGACAACTTTCAAGATTTGACTGATCCGAGTACATTTATGGGACACATGACCGAATGTTATCGATATGTCTACCAATAGAAGTTTACGTTAAAGTTTCATGGCACTATTAATATTCTATATCTGTTTTTTGTATCTAATTCTAGCTCCCCAAACACATATTATGATGTTTCACTAAACATCTTCTCATTTCTGAATAAAGGATGTGGTTTATACACCATAGGGGAACCATAATCTAACTAGCCAGTAACGAAATCTCTTTCAATATCTTCAGCTTTGAGGAACATGTCCTGATTGGTTTGGAGCACTTTTCTTCTTATATAGAAATTGTTTTGTTTGGCCTTTACCTCATTCCTTTTTACGGTAAATACTACACCAGCGTTCCTCATAATCTGGAAGCCATATTGGTGCCTCCTTTAACATCCTAATCATTCCTTTGAATTTGAAAACTATCAATATCGTTCATTGGCATATTTTCTTTTTAAAGTTTCTTAACTCACTGTATCGTGTTCCCATGAATTCCTTCATTGTCATGCTGTGTCAAAATAAGAAAATACCAATGTTTACGATAACCATAATCGAAACTCAAATTCAATAAAACTAGGGGAAAATATGAACAGAAGATTTATAAAGGTACTCCTGAAAGGTTTATCTTAATGGATTTAAATTTTCTCGGCGTCAATAAGGTCATCCACACCGTGGTCCTCAAATCGGCTAACCATGTTTGTGGAAACGACTGTTTGAATTTTTTTCTGTTCACATAAAAACCCTCAGGTGAAGCCGCGCGTCCATTTCTTTAAATATAGAAAGATTGGTAACTTTCCTTGTTTTGCAATGGAAGTTTCCCTGTCATTTTATGATGTATCAGATGTAAACATAATTACATTATCCCTGTTAAGCATGGCAGTATCGTATTGCAGAACAAGAAGGTGTCGTAATAGATGTCGTTCAGGTATGACAGCAGTAGATCAGAAATCTCACCAAGATACAAATAATTAATTACACTTTTATATCATATCACCGATGTACTTTTTCAGTCTGTGAACGAGGTAAATTTGGACAAAACTGTAGTCAGAGTTGCCACTGTGCCACATCCGATTGTCACAAAATGACGGGAGAGTGTCTTATCCTGGGATGTTCTACTGGCTGGATGGGTAATTCTTGTGACCAAGGTAGATTCTTATTTTTTACTTTATAGTGACGAAATCATAAGCACATATCATTGTTAGTGTAAGTGTCTGTTGTACTCGAGGAACCTGGATGATAGCATTAACAAACAAGTATTATTTACAAAATGAAAACATTACATATGCTGGTATGATATAAAATTGTGTCTTTAATTTTCTCACACTTACTCACAAATGATGAGTCGAGTCCTCTACTCGTAGCATATATGCTGTGAGAGGGACTGTTTGTTAACATATTTACTACCGATGAAGGGAAGGTGTGAACGTTTCAAGTACTGTAGTACTGAACAAAGTATTGATAGTATTGTACTGAAGTACTTCACCAATCGAATTCCTTAAATTTATGCAACAAGCTCTCTGATTGGCAGAGCCAAGTCTAGATCGATTGTGGGTGGAGCCAGGTGAAAAAATACTGTGCAGACATCGGCATTTTACAAACACTCGACTGTCGCGAGAGGTTAATTGGAAGAGTCCGAGTCACAGGTGGCTTCAGATCAGACCTAATTGGGTTGTCCCATTTGTTTCGTTCTACACCCAATGATACCTTGCTTTTCCATCGATGGTACAACGAGAAAACGAAAGTTACTCAGTACTAAACTAATTTACGTACAAAATATATATCAACAGGTTAGATCACTGGGACCGGAGAATTCATAACATCTTAACAGTGAATATAGTCATATAGTCATTCTGTACTAGTTTTATTTATTTATTTATTTATTTTTTGAAAGGGGGGGGGGGAGGGTTGGCTATATGTAACAAAGAATTACGAATTACCTGGGACCTCCTGATATATGCCGATAATTCATACTGCATTAAAAAATAAAGGAATTCTGTGGTCCCATATATTTTTTATTTTATTTTTTATCTTTCCATCGAAAATTATACATATCCGCAACATGTGAAAAACTTTGAAGTTGGTTGGGCGGAATATCTAGAGCATTTACTACTGCAAGTTCCAGAAATTCTGACACAAGTCGGGTATTTGCCCGAAGCCTCTGTCTCATGACATTGAATACATATTCAGTTACGTTGTATTCCGGGGAATAAGGCGGCTGAAAAACCAGGGACACGCCATATTCTTTCAGCATATTTCTTAAAATGCGCTCTCCCTGTCTATGGTGATGGAATCCACAATTATCCATCACAACCACATCGCCTTGTACAAAAACAGGATTCCCCATATCGTTCGTATCGGACATAATTTCGTCGAAGAAAATTTTGCGTACTGTTGCCGTCGTCGGACATTTTTCCAGCGATTACTTAGTAATTGTTATGTAACTGATAGTGTACATTAACTCCGCCTACCGGAACAAATTGGGTGTCAGATCAACTATTCAGGTTGTCTAAACTCCGCCCCCGACCAATCACAGAGGTCGTTGTATACTTGACTCGATTATTTGAATACTTCAATACAATAGTGTCAATACTTTGTTCAATACTATAGTAAGTGTGTCGTTCACACCTTCCCTTCATCGGTAGTAAATGCTCTGTAATTGTTATAACTCTATATGGTTTTACGGTCAGTAATATATAATAGGGTATTGTGAAGAAAGTTGTTAAAAGTAATTGTGTTATTCATGTGACTCAGACTTTTAAATACATAGACTTCTATCAATTTTGTATTTGTTGTTAATATTTTTTTTTATATAAAACGCAGAAACAAGCAAACGTTTTGTTATGATTGAAATATAAATAAACTATTTTTTAATTCAACGAAACCTCAAATGAACAGTGTAATGTTTACCTTTTAGAGTGTGCCAATTATATGTTTGGCCGAGACTGTATCCAGACATGTCATTGTGCTGACTCTGACTGTAATAGGACGAACGGTGTCTGTACTTTACCTGGCTGTAGGGAAGGATGGATGGGTAGCACATGTAGCCAAGGTAATAAATCATGTAATTGAGTGCATGGAAACATTGCTCAACAATTGTATACAATTGTAATTGTATAATTCATGTCAATTATTTAAGACTTTACGGCTTATAAAACGAATCCCTGTTGCTCTCAGTGATATTTCTTTTCATCAGTGCTACCTTGCACTAATAAAAAATCATATTTTTCTTTACTTGAAGTAATTCTAAAGAGAAAATCTCTACGACAGCTACTGATGTAGATCTTTTCCTTGAAACCAACACTGACAGTTTTCCACGAACCTATTGTGAGATTTCCATTTCTAATTTAAACATTTCTGCCGCCCAAACCTAGTGTGTTTCCATCTTGTCGCAACTGATTCGATATTTAAAGGCTTGTTCTTACTATCATAATTTTCAAGAAGTCGTCAACTGACGGACAAACTCGTAACACAGGGTTTCAAAAGGTGCAGGTTGATGTAACTTATTGGGAAGTTTTATGGCCGTGATAGTGATCTCATTGAGAAATATTTATTGATGCGATAAGAAGCTTGATTTGTTTTATGCCTGTAAGTTTGCTTGTTTATTACATCGCGGTATACCTTGTTGTCCTTTGAGAACGTAACAGTACCTGCTTGGATTGACCAAGATTTATATGTGGAGTGTCGTCCATGAAGCAGAAGACACTTATTCTTCGAAAACCCTGGTTTTATTCTCTTTTTACCTTTTCAGAAGTCTTCATGTAATTTTTTTTTCTGTTCATGTTTTACTCTAGTTTTATTGAATTTGAGTTTAGATTATGATCATTATGTTCTTGCTGTTTTTTGTAACGTTCTATTTAAATGGGAAGGGTTTATGATTAAAAACCATCAGTAGGAGTTGTATTTCAATCTGACCGTACGAATTCAAAAACTGTCAAAACGTTATCAATATTCAATGCAGTAACTGCACGTTTCTGAAAAGTCAGCTGAGAGGACGGTAAGAAACGTAACACAATGTATCTGTATATATCAACTTTTCTTCAGACACGAAATACATTTTCCAGGAAATAGATATCAAAACACAAAAATGAAAAATGCACATCTCACCTTCGAATCCTATTCGAACTGTGTCACTTGTGAAGCGCCTTCATGTCCAAGACTGTTTTTGAAAGGTTAATTGGCTGTGTTTTTAATTACATTTAACGACGTTTTGTTGTTCATACGTTTAGTTTAACCAAACCTTTATCATGAGTTTATTATGAAGGGAATTTCCTGAAAAAATACGTCCAATTAAAGGAAGAGATAATGTAAAATTGAAACATAAGTACTGTCATCTAATTACTGGTGTATAAGATCTTCGTACAGTGTAGTAGTAATATCTTCCAAGATTTTTTTTTACATATCTACGGAAGCAAACTGAGCGACCTCATGGCCGCATTTATCTTGCAAAGGCCTTCAGTGTCCTTTCCAAATATGTTAATGATGTTATGTTTTAAAGACAAGAAATTTAAGACTCATGTTCATCGTATATATCATCTCAGTTGAAAAACAAAGGGAAAAACAGGTTCAGTTTACCTCGATAATTTCCATAATGAAACAAATATGGTCCGTTTTCCTCCAGTTTGTAAGATAAGCGCAATGATTTATATTTCCCTATTATGAATGGGATTTTCCATGCTTAGATAGAAACATACATGCATCACAGGTATTACAGGGACATTTGGGGGAATATCATATATCCGTATGGATTGAAGTTGGATATGTTTGATGCTCTCTAATAAGCCTTATGTTTTAGTACCCCTTTTTACACCCTTGAAATGAAAAAGACTCACGTGGTGGTTGTCATCTTTGGTGAAGGAGACTAAATTTTGTACAAATTGAGACTCAGCCCGAACGGGCGGGAAAGTCTAGACTCAAATGGGGAAATAGAGCAAATTATTTAGAATTCTTTTTTTTACTGAAGGAATGACAGGTGTTTGGTTGAATATTTTTTGGGCCAATAAGCCAATTAAAATAAATTCTTTAAAATCCTTCTTCCATAGGAATGCTTTGGTTTTGTTACAATTTGGTCTTACATACTCTTGGGTGATTAGAAATCTATTTTGTAGATATGTTTTGGCCTTCTAGGACGGAAAAAAAATAGGACGATTGTAGAACAAAAACATATGAACAACATCTTTTCAATACAAATTTGGTTCTGTAAAATAGAGCCAAACAATGCTAACGGTCTATATTTTGACGTCTGGGAGGCGGCTGCAAAATTTTGTATAAAGGTTTGGTGTGACTCTCTGGGGCCGAATGGTTTGTCTCATTAAGGGAAACGGAGGAAGGCAATTTGAGTTATTATCATACTGACACATGTTTAGTAAGTGTTTCCTCTTTGAAATGATTGAATAGTGTAAAGTTGGGAGTTGTTCTTTATCAAGCCAGTCTAGTTCGTTGTGTATACAGGAAATGCAACGATGTAATGTCTTCAGATAGGATCAATTTATTGTACGCCTTGTCTGCAAGCGCAATAACATTCTTAACCTCCATGTTATATTCGCTGTTACTTTGAACACCGAGACCATCTCATGGAAGTTGATTGATTTATGTATGCCATAGTGGTTTTTTGACAAGGAAACATTAATAAATATTTTTATTTAGAAGGACATATACAGATCAGTCAATTATGCAGGTTCATTATTTGAACTGAAATATATGTTATAATGCTGAACGTCAAAAAAGGATTTGTATACATTGTAATATCCATATTTACCAGACCATCAGGCCATCTGCAATTAAGTCCGATGAAATTATGAATTCCAGAAAGTTTAAAAATCTAGAAATTTGCTTTCAGTAATATTTTCCTTCATGATATGATGTAATGATATGATATATTAGACGCGATAAATCTCGGAATATGTTTCTTCATACTTTGTGAAGTGAAAATTGAATTAATTTTAATCATACCCAGCTACTTTTTTATAATCATTAAACAATTATTATCATCATTAGCATTGTAAATAGCCAATAATCAACTGTTTAGTATTAAGTATTTAATCCATGTTATAATTTACATCCCGATAATTGAGTGAAGACTTGAGTTATGCTTTTGGGTATATATTATACCAATAACAAGAAAAAAGAAATGTATCCAGTAATGTCATTTCATTAAATAACGCATAACATGGTAAACATGGTAACAACAATATCAATCATGTTATACAAAACATATTTACAACATAATCAATATCATAATTTTAATATAGCCAAATAGATGGAGTATGAAATATAACAAAAACGATGGAGCATAAAATAACAAACCTACATTATAACATGCACAAATTCATAGTTGTTACATAGCCATAAAGATAGAGCCTAAATAACTAGGAAGGACGTGTATCATAACCGAAAAAGTGGGATGGTGGGCCAAACAAATTCCATTACCAATTTTCGACCTTGTATTTTTTTTGTTGTTTTCTCACGTGACCTAAATTCGCCTCGCCGATTTGCTGTTCCGTTTTCGCCGATTGTTTTCGGGTGTACTCGATTAAGCTGCAACCATCCCACTCTTTTACATTTCGCTCCCATTTTTATCGCATATTGTAACACAGAATTTCAATGAAATGATAACACACATGAAATAAATAGTTTCAATGTACAACATAAATATATTCATTATCATAAATCGTATATACTCTTGAATACACTCTTTAATACAACTTTAGAGTTAGATATCTTGGGACAAAACAATAAATTTAACCAAATCATACAGGTGTTGTTTGCTTCTAGGATTCCTCAATGATGTTAAGGGCCGAAAGTTATTACGATAAAGAAAATAAAATGAAGTAAAATTTTAATTTGTTTTAAACATAACCAAGAGCCTACACATACTTTCTGAACTATTTTTATGATCTTAGTAACTTTGAAAATTATCAATCATCAACTAGTTAAAATCAGATAAATTGATTGCTTTTAAAGTAACGTAAGTTAGAAGTATAAGTTTCCTAATTTTGCTACATCGTATTGATGTTGTTAGAAATTATTTTAAAAATATCGTTTAGAGATGAAATGTTTTGTCAAAATGACATTTCACAGTGTAATTTAGAGAAGATAGTATTAATATCTTGCATCGAGGTTTAACGAATTAAACCTTGGAGTAAGTTTTGACATTTTCTATACATCTACGTTTTGACATTTCCTATGCATCAAAAGAGTAAACCACACTTCCTATTAAGCTAAACGCTGTCTTTAGAATTATAGAAAAGACTCAAAGGTAAACAGCATTCTTTAATACATGTGCTGTTTTGACAGTTTTAACATATCAAGGTCTTATGGTGTCAACATTTTCTACTGGTACGTAATATGTAATACGTAAGGTGTGTTCGATGTTCGTGTGCATCTCTCCTAGTTTCGCTATTTCTATCTCCTGCCCAACAACGAAAAATTCAAATCGGTTACGTCCGTACGTACTTCCGTTCGTCCTCATACTGCTTTCCGCATGATATCGTTTGAAGGACTGGTAGGAATGTGATGACACTAGTTTGGTACACTTGTTAAAATAATTCTTTGTCCAAAATTAACGGCGAGTTCCGTGCAGTGAGGCTGCTGTGACCTGATTGGCTGGTTTCTTTAATCACTCCTGGATGCTGCTTTCCGCATGATATCCTTTTGAAGAACTGTTTGGACTTGTCACTTTAATTCTTTGGCCTAGTTCGATTAACGGCAAGTTCCACACTCATTTAATGAGGCTGCCTTGACCTGATTGGCTGATTTTTTATCACTTTATGTTGGTTGACATATCGTTATTTCCCTGATAATTAAGATCAATACATCAGTTATATAGGTTTTACTTTTTATTTATTTCTCTGTTATGTGTACTTTATGTAACAGCGTGTACCGACAAAATGTTTGGGCGAGACTGTATCCAGACCTGTTATTGTGCTATCTCTGGCTGTGATAGGATGAACGGTATTTGCACTTCACCTGGGTGCACAGAGGGATGGATGGGAAACAAGTGCAATCAGGGTACTTACTATAACATCAAGTAAATCTCAGCGGTGTCAAATATCCATCTTTTCACTATTGCTTTACACTGATGAAGCAAAAATGAAGTTCAATATCTGTTACTTCAATGTATTCAATTTTTGTTGTAAGATCCATGCTAATAAATATTCGGTTCTTATCAGTAATTTAGACGTGATGATACACTTTGGATATCGGTAATGACATGTGCTATTTTGACAGTTTTAACATATTAAGGTCTGATGGTGTCAACATTTTCTACTGGTACGTAATATGCAATACGTAAGGTGTGTTCGATGTTCGTGTGCATCTCTCCTAGTTTCGCTATATTGTCACTTTAATTCTTTGGCCTAGTTCGATTAACGGCAAGTTCCACACTCATTTAATGAGGCTGCCTTTACCTGATTGGCTGATTTTTTATCACTTTATGTTGGTTGACATATCATTATTTCCCTGATGATTAAGATCAATACATCAGTTATATAGGTTTTACTTTTTATTTATTTCTCTGTTATGTGTACTTTATGTAACAGCGTGTACCGGCAAAATGTTTGGACGAGACTGTAACAAAACCTGTCATTGTGCTAACTCTGACTGTGACAGGAGGAGTGGGGTATGTAGTATACCAGGATGTACTGAAGGTTGGACAGGGAGTACCTGCAGTCAAGGTAATAGAGAAATCATTTGTGTTAACAAACATTTAGATTAAAATGACATTATAGTAATCAAACCGTACAAATAACTACGCAAAAACAATTCAGGTTTCTGGAATCGCAAAGGGATAATCTTGTTTAATTACTTGTCGTTGGATGTGCCTTAGTCATTTGGATATCCCTGAATGGTGGTTATAGCACGATCGTGATATATTAAGTGCCATAGTATTTTTTTAGTCGAACGAAAGTCCCTACAAAAAGAAAAGGGATCTTTAAAGGGCAGGTACAACTTTCATAAGATTTCAATAATTAATACATTGATAACATCTTGACCCGAAATCCGTTAACTTTATAGACAGGAACTTGGTACATGCAACTGGACTGACACTAAAGTGATACCGTTTTATCTAAACAATATTTATCACTAATTTGTAAGGCATGAAGGTATCGAATGGTATCGACAACTGATGATAAAAATTCTGCATGAAAATATTATGCTGTTCTTTGACCTCTTAGTTTGTTAGTTGCTTATTGTTTTTGTTTTCAATTGTCAAATATCGTTCAAACAGTATTGCCTAGGGATATATGGAATGAAAATAATGAACTGTTTGTGCAATTTATTGCAAGTTTTTACTTAAAACTACAACAGCAATAATTCAAATAAATGTAAATATATGTCACATGATCATCTTCTGTCTTCTGCTTCGTATATAGAATGTGGCAGCAATTCATTTGGACGAGACTGTAACCAGACCTGTCACTGTGCCTACTCTGACTGTGACAGGAGGAGTGGGACATGCACCATACATGGATGTACGGAAGGTTGGATGGGAAGTAAATGCAATCAAGGTAATGCATTAAAGTCTTTTTGAACATGTTTTCATATTTTAATGAATTGAATTCACGAACTATGCAATAACTTACATCACAGGATTTGGATATGTGAAGACCGATGAAGATTTTTTCGAATTGTATGGTTGTAATGATGATTCCAATGCTCGTTTGTGTTTCTGGTGGTTTCTGTTTCATTTTTATTTACCTTGTTCTCATTGGGGATCGTAATGCATTTTACGTGAATGGACAAGGATTTACATGGTAGCTGTCGTCAACGAAACAGGAGACACTTCCCTTCCAGAACACCTTGTCTTCTTTATATACTTATACAGGGGATTTATTCTTAAATTTCTGTTGTTTCAAAGAATATTTGTTTGAAATAAGATTTGGTTAAGATGCGGTTACTTGTTATTGTTCTCTGTTCATTGCTATCAAAGTCCTGGTTAAGGAAGTGTAAAACACCTACCGAGACAAATCTCAAGGTAGATAAAGTTTACGTCGGACAGACGGACTCAACTGATTTTATCATTACTCAGATGTTTATAGTGTTTGATTTTTGCTTGCGTAAATGATAAAATGTTCGTAGAATGTTTTAACCATATGTTTTATACACGATAATAAAACTTCGAATTATATATAAAATACGCGTATGGAGTTTCTGGAGCAAATATCGGCAACTGTTTCATGTTGAATGTCCAACTTGCTGCTGATATCCGTTTGGAGTCATGTGGATTACAGAATAACGAAATGATAGAATATTGATATAACATAATGTATTTTACTTGGTATGATAGAGTATGTGAACCAAACCTTCGGACGAGACTGTAACCAGACCTGTCTTTGTTTTAACTCTGACTGTGACAGGAAGAGTGGGTCATGTTATATAACTGGATGTACGAAGGTTAAATTGGGAGTGATTGCAGTGGAGGGGTTTGTTTAAAATTATGCCATTATTAGGGTGGAATAAAGAATAATTTTGCAGTGTTCTTAGATGCATTCTCTCATTCCGTTGTCTCAGCAATTTGCTAACAAATATCTTATTGCCGATACAGATGAGAAATGTAATAACTTTGACATATTTATTTATTTTTCCAGTGATGAAAAGACATAACGCAAGTAATTTACAAATATAGCTGTTTTACTGATATCATTGTTTGTGGTATACAGTTCAAAAGAGTTTTTATTCAATGATGTAAGGAACCGCTTTCAACGACTTGCATATAAAATTTTCATTGTTTTCACAGACAGGCGTGCGTTTACGTGACTTATGTCTGTTTATACTTATACAATCCAATCCTTGAAAAATTGTACTTGATCAAAACGATGTTATAGGCAAATATTATATATTATTATGTAAAATATGAAGTTTGACATGTTTGGTGCTCGTGAGTGTGACTAAATGTTCCATTGTTATTTTTGTTCTTTTGGGATTGTATTACTTATTTGGCGGAACTAAGATTAATATTGCGGGTCCGGTAATCCAAAAAAGGCTTTCCCCTTCCAAACACCCAATTCAAGTATATATATGTTTATCTTTATATTATCTATTTTGTCCTAATTTCCTCGCATTGGTAGTCAAATCGGTATTTTCTTTGTTGCTTTTCGTTAACGCTTGACAAGAGCTTACTGATAAACTAATAATAAAGGATTTTTTTAAATTAGAAACATGTTGGTTTGATGAAGATTACAAAGGATTCGAAAATATTATAGTTCCTTTGCAATGTGAAGATATGTTCGATTGGAAATAATACTAATCGCAGTTGATAGTGTTTCTTTTTTCAATCCGCAGTGAATATGTTTGGATATTAGTAATCGGAACGAGAGGAAAGATACATTTAGTACATCCGTGATTATATACAGACAATAAAACCCCATGAAATAAACTAAAATAAAAACCGGACGAGTTTCGATGATATTAATACAGTGTAAAATACTACAGAACAACACTGATAAAATAGACTTAGTATTTTCATCGAGTTGTATCTGAAATTGTATTACAGGGTGTGTAAACAACACATATGGAAGAGACTGTAAACAGACCTGTCATTGTGAAAACTCTGACTGTGATGTGAGGAGTGGGATATGTAAAATACCTGGATGTACGGAAGGTTGGGTGGGAAGTAATTGCAGTCAAGGTATCATTTACTAATCAACCTCAATAAAACCACGTTCCTGCTTATATGTCATCATTGTATACCATGCTTTAAGCTTTTTAGTATAAAAAGTGTATGGTGTGTCTTGTTTCGTTTATCATTCTGTAAATGTGATAATAAAGAAAAAATATGTAATATTCTCAGATAAAAACAAAAGTGAAGTTTAAATTTCCTGATTCTGATACTACGACGACTATCAGTGATGTGCATACAAAAATGTCATTGTTCCCTCAAACAAGCGTGCGATAACCTGATTTATGTCTGTTTATACTTATACAATCCAATCCTTGCTTCGAGAAGAACTTATATGATTCCTTGTAACAAAGGTAACACTACCTACACATTAACCATAACTTCCGAAAACGGAACACCAGTTTATCACACTTCAGCATTACAATCCCATAATACCAGTTAAGGATAAGGAAACAAAACTTCCTCATTGATAACAGATTTCCAAACAGAATAGGAATACATACTTATAACACTTGATTGCCACATATCTAGTTGTTCAAACGTTGTTTGTCATACCGGCGACCTAATATCATGTTAAGTATTTAAAATCATCATGCCACTCGAATTGGAATATTTTTTATAAAACGAATTGAAATTAAAGAACTGTTTCGGGAGATGCAGGTTGGTGAAGACTATGAGAGAAATTATACGTGGTCAAATTGATATCTTAGGCAAATATTCTATATCCATGTGTGATATGAATTTGAACGTGTTTGGTGCTCATGAGTGTGACTATAGATTCCATTTTTATTCTTGTTCTTTTGGAATCATATTACTTATTTTGCATTGCTAAGATTAATACCGCAGGGGTGGTCATTAAAAAAGACGTTTCCCCCTCCCAAACACCTTGTCTAATTCGTGTATATATATGTATCTTTATATACAGTAAAACTCACTTGTGTCGAACACGCATGAGTCGAATACATCGGATGAGTCGAACGTTTCGTTCGGTCCCGATTTTTTCTCCTCTTTATCTTAGTAAATTAAACGCGGATGAATCGAACACTGTTGAATCGAATACTGTGGGTGTGTCGAATATATTTTGTGGTCCGTTCCTTCTGAATCGGACAAAAAAATCCCATGTTTGTGTCGAACATTCAGACGCCACGTTGTCTCGGGTAAATTTTCCTTGTCGGTATCGAGTGTGATCGGTCAGCCGTAACGGTGTCAACAGGCCTATATGCACAATGTAATTTCAGGGTATCGATACACCTAATCCTTTTGTTTATACAGGTGCACAGGTAAATATCTCATTCTACCACGAACTATGCGATCAAACAGCCATTGAAATAAAACATCTCATGTTTACTTTTTGCCCGTGAGTTGTTATTTTATTTGAGTGAAAATGTCAACATTTGAGTGGAAGTGTCGAAAGGGGCTATAAATTAGGGTGAAAATTCGGGATTTGTCATTCATTCCACACTCTCAATCATGAGTTCAAATGAGCAATCTAGTGAAGAACCCAGGTCATCTGGGGAGATAACTGGATCATTTGAGAGGAATGCGGAAGAATGAAGAGGACAGAAGAGGAAGCTTGATGTGAAAGATACGTGTTTGTGACAATGATGATTACAGTCATTAACCTGCAATTTATTTTTGTTTTAATAAAAAATAATTGATATTATAAAATATAGATGTTGTCTTGTTCTTTTCATTAACACCTTGCTATCAGACACGATCGGCGAAGATAGGGTCAGTTTAAATATACGATGTTTCGATTACAGACTATAGACAAAAACACTGTTGAGTCGAACCAACGGATAAGTCGAATATTTTACTTGGTCCCATCGATTTCGAGTTATCCGAGGTTCACTATAATATATTTTGTCGTAATTTCATCGCATTGGTAGTCAAATGAGTATTTTCTTTGTTGGTTTTTAATAAATCTTCATATTATTGTGGGAGCTGACTGATGAACTAAAAATTAAGGATTTCAAAAAAAAAAAAAAAAAAAAAAATTGGTTTGATGAAGATGATGAAGGATTCGAATATAATATAGTTCCTGTGCAATTTGTAGATATGTTCAGTTGAAAATGATACCAATCGCAGTTGATAGACTTTCTTTGTTTATTCGGCAGTGAATATGATGGGATATATTTAGTACATCTGTGATTATATACAGACAATATCAACCTATGCAAATAAAAGCCAGACGAGTTAGGATTATATAATTCCTGTATAATAGACTACAGAACAACACTGATAAAATAGACTTAGTATTTTCATCGAGTTGTATCTGAAATTGTATTACAGGGTGTGTAAACAACACATATGGAAGAGACTGTAAACAGACCTGTCATTGTGAAAACTCTGACTGTGATGTGAGGAGTGGGATATGTAAAATACCTGGATGTACGGAAGGTTGGGTGGGAAGTAATTGCAGTCAAGGTATCATTTACTAATCAACCTCAATAAAACCACGTTCCTGCTTATATGTCACCATTACATACCCTGTTTAAACTTTTGAGCATAAACAGTGTATGATGTGTTTTGTTTCGTTTATTGTTCTGTAAATATGATAATAAAGAAAACATATGTAATATTCTCAGATGAAAACAAAAGTCAAGCTTTAATTTTCTGATTCTGATACTACGACGACTCTCAGTGATTTGCATGCAAAAATGCCATTGTTTCCTCAAACAGGCGGGTGATAACATGACCCTTGCCTACTTACACTTATATAATCCCTGCTTTCTAGAAGAACTTACCTGATTCCTTGTTACCAAGGTAGCACTACCTACACATTATCCATTAATTCCAATGACGTAACACCAGTTTATCACACTTCAGCATTACAATACCATATTACTAGTTAAGAATAGGAATACATACTTATAACACTTGATTGCC